TAGTGACGACGGTTGCAGGTGGCGGTGGCAGGAAGCCGTTTGAAATGCGGCTGTCAGGCGTCAGATCCCAAATCAGTCAGGTACGTCGCCCTTGGGTACGGATGTCCTTGGCGTCGGGTACGTTTGGCTGGCCTGGTGCTTTGGAAGTGAAGTGTTGGAGTGGCGAGCGAGGTGCCTTGAATTTGGTTTGGAGTGTTCCGAGCTGCCACGGGTCAGCTCAGGTTAGCTTTGTGAGGCTTGGGGCCCAGTATAGTTCGTGCTCCTTGCAGGGAGCTCGGGTTCTCAGTAGGGAGCTCGGGGTCCTAGTAGGGAGCTCGGACTTAGGGAACTTGGTTTATAGGGAACTCGGGTTCTTACTTGGGGAGCTCGGACCCTTAATAGGGAGCTCGCTCTTAACAGGGAGCTCGAGCTCCTAGTAGGGAGCTCGGACTTAGGGAACTCGGGTTTTTTGGGGAGATCGGACCCTCAACAGGGAGCTCGCTCTTAACTGGGAGCTCGGGGTCCTTGTAGGGAGCTCGGACTTAGGGAACTCGGGTTTTTGGGGAGCTCGGACCCTCAACAGGGAGCTCGCTCTTAACTGGGAGCTCGGGGTCCTAGTAGGGAGCTCGCTCTTAGGGAGCTCGAGTTCTCAGTTAGGGAGCTCGGACCCTTAACGGGGAGCTCGCTCTTAACTGGGAGCTCGGGGTCCTAGTAGGGGAGCTCGGACCTTTAACAGGGAGCTCGCTCTAAACAGGGAGCTCGGGCTCCTAGTAGGGAGCTCAGACCTTTAACAGGGAGCTCGCTCTTAACAAGGAGCTCGGGCTAAGTACAGCGGTCTGGAGTTCGGGCTTGGTAGTGAGCTTGGATTTGCTTCCGATGTTCGCTTTGGGCGCTCTATTGCCCCGAGCTGCTTGCCTTCGCCACGTGTCAGGCGATCGCGATGTCGGGCCAAATTTCCCTTCATCAGAAACCCATTGAAAAATTATGTAATTTTCATTGCAAATTATTAAATATAAATGATTATGGGAAATGGAAAAATATAATTTGAACAAATAAGTACACAAATTATTAAGATAAATTAGTATAATATTGGAAAAAGGAAATTATTGGTTAGTTTATTTTAGAAGTTATAAGATAAATTAGTATAATTCTGTAAGTAAACCATTTGAAAAGAAAATAAATTATTTAGTAAAAATTTAAATAAATTTTCAAAATTACACAAGTACAATAAATTTTCCAAAATTTTCATAAAATTACATTTTTGAATATTAAAGACAATTTAGTGTACTTTTCGAAATTTACCATGTGGTTGATACTCAATATATCCTTTTGATCATTTCCATCATCAAATTGAATATTGGGTTGACGGGGACAGTGCTTTCAAAATTCGATCAAACCAGATGGTTAGATCGGAAAAATTGGGAACCGGACACCGTTTCACCTCAAAACTGCTTTTATTTTCCAAAAACCGTTTATTTGGTTAGCGAACCGTTGACCTGGGCGGTCGAACCGTCAACTCGGACAATAATTTTTGGCCTTTTTTGTTTTCCTAATTTTTTATTTCTTTTGTTAGAGTGGGTCATCCGTTCGGACCGAACAACCAGATCGTTCGACCCCAGAACGGTTCCCTATCCGGTCCAATTTTAAAAACCTTGGATGGGGAGTGGGTGCCTTGCCTTAATATTTTAAAATTTTAAATATTAACCATAACTTTGAACTTAACTCTTTCTAACAACCATAAAAAAAGAGGGATTTGCTTTTCTAATGTTTAGCCAAGGGGCACCACTTTCCCCTATTTTCTCTTAAATTGTCTCTAATTCCTATTTATCTCCTAAATTATCACTAACTCCTATTTATCTCTTAAATGATCTCTAATTTAGTAGAGAGATTCTCTCCTAACCTATCTTTAATTCCAATTTATCCCCTCCCACACATTTTATCTATATCTATCTAAAGAAAGTTTTAATTAAAAAATTTCAGAATTATTTAAATATTATAACAAAATTATATACTAAATTTAAAATATTTATTCAAAACACAAAAATTAATTATAATATATTTAATAATATTCATATTATTACTAATTTTATATTTTTACAAAATTCATCATGAAATTATGTAGTAACAACAATATAAATTATAATTTTACAAATTATTAAATTTAAAATAGATATAGATAAAATGGAAAATATTAAATATCTTAAATAACCAAATATTTAAGATAAATAACTATATAAAAAATATTTAATATTGTATAATTAAACATTGAAAATAGATAAATAATTATATAACCAAATATTTAATATTATATAATTATATTAAAATAAATGAAATTCAAATAATGGGAAATATTAAATATTTTACATATTATTTAAATATTTAAATAACAAAATATAACATGACTAAATTTTAAATAGTTAAAATAACGTAATTATGTAATAAATTAAAAAAAATCTTAAAAGTAGTAAAATTATTAGAATAGATTTCATAATTTTCATATTAATAATAATTTATTATTTTACAAAATTAATGACGAATTATGTAATAATAGTACTAATTATAATTTTATGAATTATTAAGTTCAATAAATAATCAATATTTTAAAATTTTAAATAAAAATATTATTTAAATAACTAAATAATATTGTGATTAACTAATTTCAGTTATATCAATTAATAATTATAGAGAATAACTTTCAAAAAAATAATATTTATTAGTCATAATTTTACAATAATAGTGTACATTCATTCTGTATTTATATATATACTAAAATTAATAGTTATTTTATTTTCAGTAATTATTTATTGTATTTTTGATAAATATGTTTTCATAATTATTTATAAATCTATTTTTGTTTTTTTATTTAACAGTAAATTATCAATAATTATTGGAAATTAAACAACTATTATTTAACTTTTGAAATTTAATTTGTTGTATTTATTTTATTTTTGTTATAAATTTATTTTTCGTAATTATGTATTTTTTATAATTCACTAATTAATATTTATTAGAGATTAAACTATTATTTGAGATCACACTATTTATTGACTAATTTAATATATTTTCAGTTTTTATTATATTTTTGTAATTATTGTATTTTCATTAGAAAATTATTTTCAATAATTGTGTATTTTTCTATAAATTTTCAATAATTATTGGAGATTAAACTATTGCTATTTATTAGAGATTAGACTATTAATTTAATTGAAATTAGGAGTGTTCAAGGATTGTTCCAATTCAGTTGCAGGCTATTTCGCCAACCAAATTGATCTAGTTAGGCCGGGAGTTTGTCACCTGAAATAAATGACCATTATTAAAAACTTGTCAACTCGGATTGTATCAATTTGGGTCGTCTGTTTTTGGTTTTGTTTATTTGTTCAAAAGATTTAAACTCAAAATAAATCTAATAAATTATAATGGTATTATTAAAAAATTAAATTTATGATATAGAATATTTTATAGAAATATGAGATTTTCCCACTTTTTCATATAAAAAATTATATTTAAAAAATATATATATATATAATTGAATCAGTTCAATTTTGATTAATTATTAAAAATTTTAATATAAAATAATTATATACTCCTATATATTCCTATTTTCTATTGTTTAACTTTTATTTAACAAAACTGTGCATCGCACCGCTTGTATGTCATAGAGGTGATCGATTGCAAATCATCACAGACCTACCAAGGAAATTATGTTAAATTATAACTTTCAAATTTATTGTTGGGTATTAATAATTTATGGATTACCTGGCTTATTCATGACTTATTCATGGCGGATGGCTAAATGGGACCTTATATTTAACACCTGCGCGGCTGGGCCCTCCTAATCGCACATGATTTTCAGCTTTATAATTAATTATTTTAAGAATTGCAATTCCAGCGCTACGACCACGGACTGACACGGTGCTTCCTGTATCATACCTTCCGGCATCTTACATTTACTATTCATTCTGTGACGGTTGATGATGGCCATCTTCATTTGGACCCGCTGACGTGAAGTTGCTTTCTGTCAATTCCGGTGTGACGTGATTCCGGTCTTCGGCTCGAAATCGATGATAAAATCATAAATGTTAACGGCAAAAAGCGCCAAGAGTTAAGGACGGTTATACGGTCTAATGCCTTCCACGAATCCTACGCGGCTTCGCTCTGTTTACGACACGAAGCTTCTATATCTCGATTCCCACCCAACACGGTTCCCTTTCGTTTGCTTCGACCCAAAGCCTCGTCGTCGTCGACTCTAAAAAGCCCAAATTCACCCATTCCTTCTCTACTGTAATCTGTAAATCAACAACCCAACCAGACACAAAATGGATTCTCAAAACCCTGGCAACAAGAATAGCTCTTTCTATCCCCAAGTCATCGAATCAAACCCAGAAACTGCATCTCCCTTCGTTTCTAACCCCAAATCTTCTTCTTCTTCTTCTTCTTCTTCTATGTATCCTGTGATCGATTCGTCCGACCGGTTGAAGGACTCGAAGCCCTCTTCCTCTTCTTCCCTCTATCCCTCCATCGACATGAACGATCTCGTCGACAATCTATTCCCGGACAAGGACGATGTCGCCCATTCTCATACTGCGTCTGCTCCCATCCAATCTTTCGAAGAGGTGCTCATCAAGATTTCCGGTGCCATTGTACATCTCATCGACAGGCAATACAGTGTTGAGCTCGCTTGCGGTGACCTGACAATCGTTCGCCTCCGGCAGGGGGAAAGCGTCGTCGCCGTTCTTGTTCGTGTCGACAACGACATCCAATGGCCTCTTGCCAAGGACGAGGCTGTCGTCAGGCTCGATGAATCCCACTACTTCTTCACTCTCCGCCTTCCCGCGGATGAAGGGTGTGACTCCGGCCATGGAGAAACCAAAGCCGGCGATGGTTCGGAGAATTTGATAAACTACGGTCTGACTTTCGCATCCAAGGGGCAGGAGAACTTACTCAAGGAGCTGGACGGGATTTTGGAACACTATAGTAATTTCTCTGTGCAGAAGGTCTCAGGGAAGGGGAAGTCAGAAGTCTTGGACGGTTCGGTAGCGGAGGGCATCTCTCCGTCCGAGTTAAAATCGGAGGAGAAGAAGGAGATGATGGAGGAAAGATCCGCGGCTTATTGGACTACATTGGCTCCAAATGTGGAGGATTACAGTGGATCGGTTGCGAGGGCCATTGCAGTTGGGTCGGGGCAGTTGATATGGGGAATTCTGTGGTGCGGTGATGTTACGGTCGATAGGTTGAAATGGGGAAATGAGTTCTTAAAGAAGAGGATGGAACCCGGTTCCAATGCAGAGATTAGTCCCGAAGCTATGAAGAGAATACAAAGGTTTGCTTTTAATGTATTGAATTACTGTTTGTTTATCTAATGTATTGATGCTTGATAGCCTCCTCTGTGACTCTGTCTCGCTAACGCACAAATGCACTCACCTATTTACCCCACCCCATGTACACGCATTTTGATTTAGTTGTTCTTTCGGGTTGTGTTTCAACATTTTATTGTCAAGTTGTTTATCTTTTAATTGAGTTTATGTGAATTGATTCTGGCTGGAAAATGTTGGGGATGTTCGGTATTCATTTGCTTTTTTTTTGGGTATCTTGGTATGTCTATTTTGAATCAAGTAAGGCGCATAATCTTATGGGTTAACAATCTGTGCAGAGTTAAACGTCTATCAAAGATGTCTGAGAAAGTAGCAAGTGGTGTCCTTTCTGGGGTGGTGAAGGTTTCTGGGTTCTTTACAAGTTCAATCGCAAATTCAAAAGTGGGGAAGAAATTTTTCGGGCTCTTGCCAGGGGAAATTGTTCTTGCCTCCCTTGACGGATTTAGTATGTTGCTCCTTTCACTCTTCTGACCTTTTTCTTTTTCTTATTTGGAATGGAATGTTTGTTGGGAAATGGGGTCACATGATACAATGTGTGGTTCGACTGGACTGAGAGAGAGGGGGAGAAAGTGGATTTTGAAAATGTGTGTTTTTGAAGTCTGATTCATGCTCCTTAAATAGTTTATGAATAGGTATGAAGATAATGTAGGTGCTGGTTCAGAGAAGGTAGTTAACATTTAATGGTTTAAAAGGTAGTTAACATTTAATGTCTGTTAACTTTGAATTGTGCCTCTTGATCACACCCGATCGAATGGTGACCGTTGATCTCATCAACGGTGACCAACGGTCAGCATTGCACCAAAACCAAAGCCATCACGCGAAGTGCGAGCAAAGTGCGCCTCTAAAGTGCCTCATCGTGTTGTACACACACGCGCACACTGTGGGACAAGTTCAAAACTGGGTTTTGTAAGAGAAAAGCTAATTTTTCAATCAAGTGTGCAGGTGCAATTTCTCATGTAATTGACCAATCAAACCCATTGGATTTAATCTCTTGTGAGATTAAAATCCAACAATATTATTATGCAAATCAATACGACTGCTCTTGCTGTTGTATGTAATTCCTCATTTTGCAACCTCTGAACTACTTACAGAAACGATGCTTGCATTCTGTTAACTTGTATTGTAATTTTTCCTACTTCGTAAAAACTAGATAGGCCCAACCTCTGAACTGCTGGTTTTACATTATTATTTTTGTCAAAACTAGATAGGCCCAATGTGCTACTTATTTAATTTTTATGTCTGCAATCGACTGATAAAAATTAAGAACAGTTGTGGTTGCAATTGACTAATTATTTTTTATCATCTTCTTGAATGCATAGATTCTATGGATGCCATCATTTGCACTTCTGTTTTCATTGATAGGGTGGGAGTGTCAGGTGGAAGTACTGACTCTTTTATCTCTGTGTCTGCGTTGCAATGGTTGGAGGGTTACTTTGTCTTGGATTTCCATAACAGTGTACAACATTCAGTTGGTTCTATATATCACCATTGTTTTTTGATCGGAAAAAACATTAACCCCCACCCTCTTTTTGTGAGATGGCATTCATGATGAGAATTCACATTTTCAATATTATGTGCTATCAAGTATCATAGTGAGACAAAATTTCCAAAGAAGCGACAACAAAGAGTATACACTGAAAAGAGGTTTGTTGTTGGGAAGAATGGGCGGCAGAGCAGTCTAATTTGGTGAAGTTGATTCTTTTTTTTTTTTTTTTTTGAGAACTGAGCACTGAAACATGAGTGAGAGGTCAGAGATCTGACATGTTTACAGGGTTTAGGATCCTATTAGGATCAAAGCGTCCTCTGTCTTTGTTTTGATGCGTCTGTTTTTGCCAACTGAGTTATGTGGTTGTTTGACACGTTCGCCAAGTGCAAATTCTTGGAATTATACTTGGCTAACAAATATTGACATTATCCATCTTTTGATCTGCCAACAGGTAAGGTCTGTGATGCTGTTGAGGTAGCTGGAAAGAATGTAATGTCGACGTCATCTGTTGTTACAACTGACCTTGTTTCACATAGGTGAGTCTTGTGGTTGGCTGTATCTGAGAAGTATCATGTTTACCTAGGATTTTCTCCATTTTCTTGGAATTTAAGAAATGAACTTGGTATCTCAAATCCTCAATTGATTCTGGTTTCTTGCATTATAAATTAGTAATGCCAAGCAGATCTTGAGGCGAGTGGGGAACCTGGCTATTCGCCAGAAATCTTAGGCCCCATTTAGTTCACGGGAATAGGGGTCTGGAATTGGAACCCAACTGTTTGGCATTATTAATGGGCTATTCTAATTTTAACTGTTTGATTCTCATTCTTGCCGAAATGACATTCCTCCATTTAAGTGAATGGCTATTCCCTGTTCCTCCCTTGCGAATGAAATCTCATTTCTATTTCTGTCAGACTATAGGAATAGACCATTCGGATTCCGATTCTGAAGAATTTTTTATTTTGATTCCGACTGCAAATTAAACGGACCCTTAGTTTCAGAATCAGGACTCAATAATAATATTGGTTCAAACCCAATGTGCCACGCTGAAAGCATCCATTGATGAAAATAAAAGTGGTGGTGGTGGTTACAGGTATGGAGAAAAAGCAGCAGAGGCAACAAATGAGGGACTTGGTGCAGCAGGACATGCTATTGGGACAGCCTGGGCGGTGTTCAAGATACGCAAGGCACTCAACCCAAAGAATGTCATCAAACCATCCACCCTCGCTAAAGCCGCAGCTGCCGACGTGAAGGCTAAAAATTCAAATTAGCAGGTACATGGGACTTCTTGTTTGGTTGTGGCTGGTGGTGTATATATTAGAATGGAACACTGTTTTATTAGTGTGGTTGTTGTTTGTAAGGTGTGCTCTACCTTCATTTCAGTGATTTTTCTCTGTTATTTATTTTGCCCTTAAACTGTGATTTTGTTTTCTTATTTCTTCTGTCCCGGCAAACTATTATCAATATCAATGACGAGTGGTAGGAAGTCTTTTCCATTTTTCATTTTCTCGATTTGGGAGCCACTTTACTATCCTAAACTTTGGAACTTTGGGGTAGTGTTAAGTTGGTACCCGAACTTTCACTACATTTATCTATCTACCGTTAATTAATTCTTAGTTATCTGTTCAAAATGTCAAAACTGTCCTTCAAAAGAAGATATTACCGTTAATTAATTTTTGGTTATCTGTTGAAAATATGAAAACTATCCTTTAAAAGAAGACACTATTTATTGTCTTTTACCTTGAGACTGAATCGGTTGAGGTGCTTGAGATTTTAGACTAATGAAGTTATTGTCTTTTATCTTTAAATCTGAAACACATTATTTTTTAGTTATTTCTTTGCTTTCAGTTATTGTTTCTCTCTATCATATTTCATGTTTTTTCTCTCTTTTTTTTTGAAGATAATTGATTTAGTCTCAAAATAAAGATAATGAATAGTATCTTCTTTTGAAGGGTAGTTTTGACATTTTAACAAATAACTGATGATCGGTTAATGGCAGAGACTAACTTGACGCTTTTTTACAGGTAATAAAGTGGAATTTTCTCTTCTGGCTTGGCTATTATATATATATATATATATATGAAATGATAGAGACCAACCAAGATGAAAACAGAACAATAGAGTGCTCTGTGGAGAGCGGAAGAAAACATTTTAGATAGAAAAGAAATTGATCATTGAGGAAGTATCGCTGCAACTAGGGGTGTCAATTGGATTGGATTTGTCCAATCCGATCCAGTCCAATGAGTCCATTATAAATGGAGCAGGTCCAATCCAATCCAATGAATGTTTTGGATCAATTTGGACCGGTCCAATTCAATGTCTTGACCGTCCAATCTGTTCAAATTCATTTTGATTTAGATTGGTTCCAACCCAATTTTGATTTGGATCGGACGGGTCCAATCCAAAACCGGTCCATTGACACTCTTAGCTGCAACATGTCTCGTTCTCAAATTCGCTGACTGGGCACCTAGGTGTAATTCAGATGCTATGTGTCTCTGAAGGTAGGTCGCTAGGTCTCAGTAGGTCTCTGGTGGTAGGTCTCCAAGTCTCCATCAAGTCTCTAGAGGTTGGTCATCAGGTCTCCATTAGGTCTCTGGAGGTAGGTCTTCAGGTCTCCATTAGGTCTTTAGGAGTAGGTCTTCAAGTCTCCACCATTTTGGCTAAGGCAGGTCATCAACTACGTGGTGTCAGATGTTATCTAGCTGTTTTTGAGATGCCACATATCATGATGTCAGTGGAGGGCCAAGTCTGCCCTCATCACATTCTTTTCTTGCCACCCTTCTTTCGTCCTTTCCAAGACACTCAACACTTCCCCCACTTCTTTGGACAAAAGTTCTCCTATTTCTTTGGAGTGGTATTCAACTAGAACATCTTCAATCTTGACCCAAAAATCCATAGATCAGAATTGAAGGTTACTTAGCTTAATCCCATGAGAGTATCTCATCAGTAGGAGTTGATACTCATTTATTGACCAAGGCTCATTAAATCATGGTTTTCGAACTTTCATTGACATGGATGGTCGGACCATTCGGCCTGGGAACCGTCCAAGCAACTATTTCCATTTTACCCCAAACCTGGTCCTGGCAAAAAACCGTTGAATCAGTCAACAACCCGTTGACCCAGGCGGTCAAACCGTCAACCCGTTCTATGGATTTTGGCCATTTTTTATTTTTATTTTTTTTGTCAGATTAGGCCATCCGTTCGAAAACCTAATCCAGATAACCATATTCTCCAATATTTCAGCTTAGTAACCTTCCATCATCCACCACCACAGTTTTGAGACTTGCTACAAATTACCTTCAATATTTCATGGTTTATCCGAAAGGATCTTGCCATATGTGAACATCCCAAAGAGTTTGGGTGCCACTTCATAACTAGACCTGTTCATGGGCCGGGCCGGGCTGGGCTTTTACTGTGTATTAACAAATTTTTTTAAGGCTTGAGCCCGAGCCCGGCTCGACCATCAGGCCTACAACTTGGGCCCGAGCTCGGCCCGACCATCGCGCCTACAACTTGGGCCCGAGCCCGGCCCTCATAAAAAGCCCGAAGCCCGAGCTTGGGCCCGGGCCTGAAATTTAGCCTATACTATTATTAATATTAATGTTGAAGCAGCTGAATAGAGAGAGAGAGAGATTGAAATTATAAAGAAAAGAATAATATATATATTAAATTATAAATATATATTTTAATAAATATTATATTATTTATATATTTTATATAATATATAAAATACATATTATATATTTTATAAAATATATAATACTGAGTCGGGCCAGGCCGGGCTTTTTTGACAAATCCCGAGCCCGACCCGAAACACAGTCGGGCTTACTGTGTTAAGCCCGAGGTCAGGCCTGCGGGTCTAATTATATGACCAAGCCCGGCCGGGGTGCGGGCCGGGCCGTCGGGCTACCCGGCCCATGAACAAGTCTATTCATAACTAAGAGAGAAATTCCTACCCTTCAACAAATTGAACAAGGATGGGCCTCCCTAGATTGAGAAATAACAAATGACTCCCACACCAAGACAAAGACATGATTCCACACACCAAAGGGAGGGAGAGGGAAGATATTAGGCACCCCTTTCCTCTTTGTCTTGTAAATGCCAATCCAAGTTTCCATAATGAGAAGGAACTAAGTTGATGGTTGAAAGACTTCTCCCAATTGAGGAAGGTTTTACTATTGAGAGAATGTCCTCTCATATGGCTTAATCATCTCTTCTCCCTCTTTTTGGCTGTGGGAAGCCCTTAAAGGAGCAAAGGGGCGGGTGCCTACACACCTACCCCCTCTTTTTCAAATGCTTCTGGCAATTCCTACTTGAGGGGAAGAAGAATTAAGCCATAAGGAGCATATGCCTCATGGAATTCCATTCAAATTGGGTTCACAAGTCTAGGGTTATAAAAAAAGAATGCAAGATTGTAAGCAATCAAAACATTGATGATTATATATATTTTGAGCCAAGACTAAGGAAAGCTACCCATAAGAAACCCAACAAACGCCTATGATTTCAAGCAAACATACTAGAGAAAATTAGCCTCCTATAAAATCCCCCAAAAAAGCAACTGATGAGGGAAGATTTGGCCCTCCAGTGACATCATGACACATGGCATCTCAAAACAGCCAGACGACACCCCGACACCACCTAGGCGATGACTTGCCTTAGCCAAAGTGATGGAGTCCGACCTGGTGACCTGCCTCCGCTAACTTGGTGGAAATCTAGCTGGCGACCTCGTCCACAACTTAAGGTGGCTTGCAGCACCTCATCCAAGGCCGACCTGTGGTACATTGTCAGTATGATCGAAGTGGCCTCGATGAGGAGCGACCTCCATTGTGGGCTTGCTGATTTGGTTGAGGTCTAGGTGGCGACCTGCGAGATATGCTCGCCGACCAATTCTGCATGCATTCATTCACTCCCGGGTTTCTCAGAAGTTGGCCCCCGCCCCGAATGTTCCGAAGGGAACCAAACAAGGTGCAAGGACTGGTGTACGTGCACGACTACCTCCGAGGACTTTGGACTGGTTAGGCACATCTTCCCCGAGACCTTGGACTTAATGCGTGAAGCCCACACCAAACAATGCTTATATAAAGGCACCCATTCCAATGACACAAGGTACGCACGATTATCTGCTTACTAGCTCTCATACATACAAGCTTTCAGCTCGCATATAGCCAGTTATTGACTTAAGCATTAGAGCAACCACGCCGGGTTAGCCACCCAGGTTCTCTGATCCTTCCTGTCTCATAGCTCGACCGTCCACCTAAGCAATCAACGTCTGAGCTACCTTCCAGCTAAGAGCAACCAGATCGCATGCCATCGGTTGGTGCCGTCTATGGGAAATGCAACAAAAAGATAAGTTCTTACATTCTAGTTTGTTAAGTTGTCACCTTTATCAACTCAATGACATTTTTGAGCAACACCTGAAAGAATGGTAGGATCCATCTAATGGACACCACGAAGGTTGCGGAATGTGTGGGCGAATTTCAAAAATTTTCCTACCTCTTCCAATTGGGAATCATATTCCCTAAATTTAGAAGACAATATTCAAGGATCCTACTTGAACCATAATCGAACCAGATCTGAACCAAAAGGAAAAATGGAGGAATATACCTGATCCGGAGAAGCAGTATCTCCCAAAGTTGGTGTTCATGCCCAAAGAAGACACCAATATCCGCTCCTGCTGAAGATGACACAGCTGTGGGTGGAACGGAACCAGCAGAGTGGGTCCTACACACTGGATCCTTCACAAGAATCCTCTGGAAATTCTGAACACTGAATCTTTTTCAGTCTTTTCTACAAGACTGATGTCAAGAATTGATTTCTTGACTTCTTTCTTCTTCAAAGATCAAATCTTGCAAGAAGGAATGGCGGCGGCTGGAGGAGAACTCCAAGGACGAAGATGGCTGAATTGCTTCTCTTCTCTCTGGAGTGTGAATGAGATCTAATCTCAATTCGCAGGAAGCTTTCTTGCTTATCACCCTTGGTTCGAAATCTGATCTTTTTTTTTTTTTCTCTTAGGGTTTCTCCTCTTTTCTTCTTGATTAAGGAACCTCCTAATTAGGAGTTACCCCAATCCAAATCAGTATTTGGATAGGGGATTATCTTAATCATATCTGTAGATTAAGTTAGCTTACTCCTGATCTTATCAGGAGGTTACCAGATTCAAATCTGATTTGAATTTGGTCTCCCAAAGTGGATAAGGTTAAAGGCCCAATCCTTTTACTAACATTAATCTCAGATTCGCCCCACAAATGGGTGATC